CACTAAGTCATTAACATGAGTTACTTACTATATATTTACATATTTTTCCAGTAATATTTTGTAGTTTTGAGCATATAAATTCTGCATATGTCTTTCTTAGGTTTATACCTGAACCATGGGGCATTTCTGAGTGACGATCAGTGATACTGTATTTTTAACATGATTACTGCATATTATTAGTATTGTATGTATATCTTATGACCTTGTTAAATTCACTTGTTAGCTCTAGGAGAGGGTGTTTATTTGTAGGTTCCTTGAAATGTTCTGTGTAGACAGTCTTGCCATACATAATCAGGGCTGCTGATTTATTTCTTCCATTCTGACCTATGTCCTTTTTGTTTCTTATTCTTGCCTTATTGCACTAGCTTGCGCTTCCAGCTCAGTGAGAAGTCTATCCTGCCTAGTCACACCTGTAGCTGGCCAGTTTGTTAATGCTTATATAATTGTTTTTTCCTTTAGTTTGTAAGGGTGTTGTGTCTGCATGCATGGATATGCACTATGTGTATGCAGTGCCCTCAGAGGCCAGAAGAGGGCATCAGTTGTCATGGAACTAAAGTTGTGGTTGGTTGTGGGCCACCATGCCGGAACCAAATCTACATCCTTTGACCGAGCAGCTAGTGTTCTTAACTGCTGAGCCATATCTCCAGCCCCTATTAATGCTTTTTTTTTTTTTTTTAAATCTGCTTAAAGAAGTTCCTCTCTATTTCTGTTTTTCTGAGAATTTCAAATTAAATGTGTGTTGATTTTTGTTAGATTGTTTCTGTGACTTAATTGACAGGATTGCAGGATTTTTCTTCCAATGTGGATTACATTGACTGGTTTTTAAACATTGGACCAAACTTACATCCCTGGAGAAAATCCCATTTGACCCTAATATGTGGTTCTCTTTTCTATACTGTTGGATATGTTTCTAAATGTTTTTTTTGTTTTTTGTTTTTTTGTTTTTTCCTTACTGAGTTTGCATCTGTGTTCATGTAGGATGTTGGTTATGGCTGTCTCTGTTGCTGCTGCCTTTGTGGATTTGGTATCAGACTCTGATGGCAGCTCTATAAAATGATAGAGAGGTGTTCCCTCCCTTCTGTTTTCACAAGAGAGATTAGGAATCATGTGGATTTTGTAACTACTTGATTGAATTCTGTAGCAACCCATTTGGGACTAGAGATTTCCTTGTGGGGGAGGGGACTTTTACATTTTAAATCCACTTATCTTTATAGTGATAAATTGTTCAAATTGCTTCATCCTGGATAAATTGTGGTTTAGTTTTCTGGTTTTGTTGAAACAGGGTTTCTCTGTAGCTTTGGAGCCTGTCCTGGAGCTCTATCTATAGACCAGGCTGGCCTTGAACTCACAGAGATCCACCTGCCTCTGCCTCCCAAGTGCTGGGATTAAAGGTGTGTGCCACCACTGCCTGGCATGGTTTAGTTTTTATAGGAATTGGTTTGTTTGTCAAGTTTGTAGAAGTGATTCCTTTCAGGCTCCTCATGGCCCTGTGTCTATAGAGACTGTATTGATAACTCCTCTTTTGTTCCTGATGTTGGTAGCCTCTGCCACTTGGTGCCTCTATGTTTACTTACTTACTGTCAATTTTGCTGGAAGTCTGTTGGTTTGTTGGCCTTTTGTTTGTTTGGTTTTTGTTGTTGTTTTGTTTTGTTCTTTTAAACAGGGTTTCCCTGTAACTTTGCAGCCTGTCCTGGAACTCATTCTGTTAACTAGGCTGGTCTCAAACTCTCAGAGATCTGCCTGCCCCCCCCCCCCAAGTGCCTGGGATTAAAGGCATGTGCCACCACCATCCGGCTGTTTGTTGGCCTTTTTAAATAGCTGGATCTTTTATTAATTTTTCTGCGCGATTGGCTCCCTATCTCACTGCTTTCTCCTCTCTTTGTCCCTGTTTCCTACTCTTTACTGTTCTCCCCTTCCTTCTGCTGTGGCTCTGCTTTGTCTGTGAGTTCTCACAGTGGGACCCTAGGTTAGTTGTCCTGTTGAGTTTTTCCCTCTTTCAGCTGCAGCGCTCCATTTCCTTCTCAGCTGTATGCCACACAGAAAGACCAGGAGCACAAGCACAAAGACAGAAGATGACCTATAGGCTAATGCCTTTATTGTGTCCTGAGAATTACCCTGTGAGGTTCCTCAGGGGGAGCTTTAACCAGTGAGGTAAAGCAAACAGACTTGAGTTCGGAAAGGTCATGGGGCTGGTGAGATGGTCACTGTGACAGAGGGCTTCACAGTGTGTGCCGGGTGTGGGGACAGAAGGGTGAGTCAGGTAGGCTGTACCCAGCTGTCCACAGCGAGCTGGTCACCAGGAGGAAGTGGTTCCAGGCAGACATCTGGACTGACACCCGATAGCTGGGAAGCAGACAACAGGAAGTTGGGTTGGGGTGCCTGAACCTGCTCAGGAGTGAATTTGCAGTGAGTATAAGGTCACATGACACCAGAAGGATTTCCTGCAGGTAGGGAAGCATCGAGGGCTTAAGAGGTTGATCTAAATAGATTCATTCTTTTTTGGTTTTTGGTTTTTTTGGTTTTCTTTTTATTGTGTACAGTGAATGAACACTAGCAAGTGTATTTTAGGAAGGAGAGGAAAGGAAGGGGCTAGGCACATGGGAGGCCAAAGCATAAAGATAACCCAAGTTAGTAGCCAACCTGGACTACATAGCAAAATCCTGCAGAAAGAAATGAGTGGACCAGGCTACTGTTCCTGCCATGTTGAACATTCACAAAAGGGAGTGTTAAAGCAGCTTGTTGTTGAAGATGCACAGAGATGACATGCTGTGTCCAGACTTGAACACATCCTCCTGGGCTCACACAGTGGGCTACACTGCCCAGTACCAACCACAGAACTTCCTTAAGTGACCGTAGTGCCATCACCGTGCCAGCACCGTGTCACCTAGCCACATGCTGCTTGAAATGATACTCACACCACTGATGAACTGAATTGCTAATTTTGGAGTTTTCAGTGGCTTCAGCTTGGTATTGGTGTCCTGGCATCACAGGTCCGGGCTACAGGCACCACCAACCCAGTCTTGCCTATAGACTATGACAGGAGTTAGACACAGGACACACAAAGCACACCTGCATTCCTGTGAAGTTGAAAGCCTGTGAGCTGCCATCTGCTTAGAGCCCAGGGAGCCTGTGAAGGGAACAGGTCCAAGGGAGGCCAAGGAGACTTCTGGGGTACCAGCAATGTTCTGTTTCTTGGGCTGAGTACAAGTGACCAAGATGTGAGGGAAGGGGACAGGACAACTTTTTTCTCATTACAAAATTAAAATATGTTCATAATGAGGATTCTCTGAGGTAGCAAAAACAGGAAAATGGGATCTTACAGGCAAAAGATAACTGCTGTTGGTGTTCTCAAAGGTTCCCTCCCTACGTGTTTTTAGGATCTTTGTATGTTACTATTTGAAACACCGTTTGAAAAAGAGCTTTTTAGATATATTTATTTTATGTATACGAGTATTTGACTTGAACATATGTCTGTGTACTGTGTGCATACCTGGTACCCATGGAGGTCAGAAAGGGCACTGGGTCCCCTGGAACTGTCACCTTCCGTATGGGTGCTGGGATCAAACCCAGCTCCTCTGCAAAAGCAGCCAGTGCTCTTAACCTCTGAGAGGTTTCTTCAGCCCCTCAAAATCCATTTGTAATGTCTAACAACAGGCGTTAACTTTCCTGCTTGGGTTTTCTTTTGGTTTGGTTTGGTTTGGTTTGGTTTGGATTGGATTTTAAAGTCAGGATCTTGCTGTATAACACTGGTTTATTTCACACGTGCTGGTCATCCTCCTGCCTCTGCCTCTCACACATGAATGTGTTTAAGCAATTAATTTCTTTCCTCCACTTTAGAGAGGCTCTCACTGTGCAATTTAATGCTGACCTTGAACTTGGTCTTCCCGCCCGCCTGGCCCTCTAACTCCTGCCCCACCTCCCACGTGCTGCAATATAGTCACACTGAGCTGAAATTATTATCAATAGTAGAATATGAATCTACATTACAGATTCATCACATTAACAAATCCTGAGCTCCATAAGATGGCTCTGTAGTTAAAGGTGCTTGCTGCCAAACCTGGTGACCTGAGTTTGGTCTCCCAAATCCACACAATGGAATGAGAGACCTGACTCCCACAAATCATCCTCTGACCTCCATATGCATGACACCACACATAGACAGGCCATGCTGATCCTCACCGTGTTAAATGATGCTGTGGTGCATACCTTTCGTGTGTGTTCCTGGTCACTTAACTGGGAAAAAAAGGAGCTGGATGGGAATATAGGGACATCCTTAGCTTTTGAGTTCCATTGACAGACTAAATTACTGAAGTATTTTCCTGGATGTGCTGGTTTGGTTTGCTTTGTTTTGGTTGCTGGGGCAAGTTAAGCACTTGGCCACCATAGAAGAGTCTCTGAGTTTGGGGTCATGGATGAATGATTAACTGGGACAAGAAGGTCTCCCCTTTCTCAAGAGCACAGATATAATTACCACAGAGGACAGTGGCATGGCCATCTGCACCTTCCCATAAGTCTCAGCATTTGGGCTGGTCAGGAAATAGGAAAGAGGCAAGTTATGAACAGCCCAGGATCTGGACCTTGTAAAACCAGCCACCCAACCCAGTTTTACAGGGCAGGCAACAAGAGGCCCGGCCTGCTCCACCCAGCCTGCTTCCTCTCAGCAGGCCCATCCTGAGAACACTATGTTTTCTTTCCCTCTGGCAGTGCATTGACCCCACTCTGTCATCGTAATTGTCCCCATAAACTGAGCACTAAGAGAAAGCTACCCATATTTAGAGCCCCCAGGCCAGCCTGCCTTATCTAGCTGTGGCAGTACCTGGAGAACATCGGCCTGGACACTGACAAGGAACCAGTAAGAGCAGGCAGCAGAGAAGAGGGAAAACCTTTAGGAGGCCCTGTTCCCCATGACTGACAGGCCAAGCATCCTTCTCGGTAACACCTGCAGCTCACACAGAGATCGTACCCTTGGTGACTGCCTGCCTCCATATCCTTCCTCCCAGCCTGTACTGCATCGCTGTCTCTTCTTTGGTTTGTAGAAAGAGAAGAACTCATCCAGGGTGTGCTGGCCCAGGTGGCAGAGCAGTTCTCCAGGTACCGTATCCTCTGTGTATGCATTTTCCAGGCTTGTGGGAGCTGGCCCTAGCCATAGTCAGCTCTCTGTAGCTTCTGTAGCTAGCCTAGCCTGGCACATTCTAGCAAACCTTCATCTTATCCCCAAAACTGTGTCCAGTAGCTGCTTGTAGATTGTGAGTTATCGGGTGGTGAATCTACCTGCACTACCACTCCATTCTTCCAAGACTTGGAGCTGCCTGCAAACACCCTTTTACAAATGAGTGTTTTCTACTGAGATGCTCTGTGGGTGGGGGGCTTCCTTTTCATTCTCCAACACCCTACTAATTCTACATGAGTATTGTCAGTCTCTCAAAGTGATTTCTGTATGGTGTCTTATGCCACTTTTGAACCACCAGGAGCATGGCAACACTCGAGAGCTGTCCATGCTGGGCAGGGAGCGGGTGCAGGCTTGGGTCAACCTACTTCAAGTCTGCACAGAGAACCCAGGACAGAGCAGTAAAGATGCTAGAGCCAGGGACATTATTCCTTCTTTAAAAGCACCTGCTGCCATCTTGGTCCCCTCTCCAGCCTCCTTGGGAGACCTCACCTCAGGCAGGAACCTGTGAATGTTTTCTGATCTAGGTCATGTTTTATCTTTTCTCCCCACTTTTTCCCCCAGAGCGTTTAAGATCAACGAGTTGAAAGCAGAAGTTGCAAACCACCTGGCCGTGCTGGAGAAACGAGTGGAACGTGAGTGGAAGGTTTTTCCCCCCTTTCTGCCTTTTAACCTGCCTTTTAACCTCCATCAGAATTAGCTGCTTAGATCTGCGAGCAGGTTAGTACTGACGGCAAACGCATCCTTTCTTTGTGTGCTGCTTTGATACCGACAAAGGCTAGACAAGGACAGATCTAAGCACACATTTCTATCAAGAGCAGCTTGTACAAAGCTTTGTCAGTGCACAGAACGCAAAGTAAAAACCCACATGGCCTCCGTCTGGGCCAGCAGAACCTTTGCCAGGGTTCCAGCTCTGTGCCTCTCTGCATGATGGAGAATTGTCTCTTGACACCAACCGCTATGCAGCTTGCTTCTGCAGAGTTTGGAATATGTGATGTGTATGACATCTGGATATCTGTGTTTAGCCTCTGCTAAAGGAAAGCAGAAACTCTGCCTGAGAGCGAGAGTCAAGCCCAGTCTCCATTAAGTTTCCAAGAAGCCAGATTTGGGGAGGGAAATAGCTTCGAGTCACCTCACCTGTGGTGAAGGAATCAATGACGGGATCGATGCTTACACACCACAGGCCTGCAGATCCCACACTCCGCCCTCAGCTCCACAGCTCCACAGAGAGGCCATCTGTCACTGTCAGGCCCAGCCTGGCAATATATGGGCACCTAATTTATTAACTCGGAAAGAGTAAGCAAACTCCAAACAGGAAGCCATGAAGAGGCAAGCAGCCCAAAAGAATGTGTGGCAGAGTCTGTTCGGAAGATTGAGTGGATGTCTTTTTTTTTTTTTTTTTTTTTTTTCCTTGCTTTTTAATTGCTTCTTATTTTTCCAAGGGAAAAAAATTCTTACCATGCAAGACCTGGCTCACTGGAATGAGCTGAGACACATTCCCACCATCTTGTGTATACTTCTCAGAGTGTGTTGGCTTTTCCCAAATCCACTGGTCTCTGAGTCCTGAAGACTATCTTGTCTTGCTTGCCATGATGAGGAGCCACATAGCAGTTAGTGACCAGACCAGTTCATTCAGCAAATGAGAGGGGGAGAGAGGGAGAGAGAGAGAAAGAGAGAGAGAGAGGGAGGGAGAGCGCAGTGTCTGGAGTCCTTGCCCCTTTCCCTTGGGAAGGCACTGTCCTCTCACATACCTGTTTGGGGGTGGGGCAGCTCCCTGGAAGAGGGGTTTTTCCCTAGCGGTCTTGGGGAGCCCACCACTCTCTCAGAGGGTGTGGTGCAGCATGACACTGCCACCGCCATCACCATCCTTGTCATCCTTCTAGCGTCTCTCTCATTTGGATCCCCGTTGTCCCCACTGCCATTGCTGGCACCAGGTTCGAAGCCTGAGTGCAGCTGGTCCAAAGGCTCCCAAAGGACAGCCAGAGTAGGAGAGTGTCCTTCTGTGGACCTCAGCAAAGTGTCTCACACTGGAGGTGCAAATCTTCTGGGAGCTGGGAGCGCTGGCTCAGAATGTGTCAGCAGGGCTGGCTCCTCTGGAATCTGAGGGAGAGTCACAGTCAGTTCTAGACTAATTCTGGTAGTCTATGGCTACCAGCCACTCTTCCAGCTCCTTGGCTGAGATTACTCCATGGCTACAGCCTGCCTCCATCTTCATCTGCATATCTCAGTACACCCTATCTCTTTCTCATGAAAACACCTCTATTGGAACCAAGGATGGTCCCATCTCAAGTTCTCTATCTAATGTCTGTCAAGGGTCTTTCCTCTGAACCAAGCATCACTCACAGGATCCAAGCTTTAGGATGGGAACACATGCTCTCCATGACACAGTTCAACCCACTATAGTGAGCATTCATCGTTCCCATCTTTATCATGGGAGATGAGCTCAGTCTCCTGCCAAGATATGTGGCATACTGGACTCCAAACGTGAGAAGGGCTTTAGCTGAAGACCATGGAAGGAGTTTGCTGCCAGGCCACCATCCACATTGACAGATACATAAAGCCGCAGTCACCATTTGGTTTATGACTGCCACACACAGCAGGTGTCCTCATCTTCTACTCATCTAGCACCATCCTCTTCTTCTGATGTCTCTTCTGTCCCAAGTCCCCAACTGTAGGTCTCACTTCCAGGCAGCCCATGTCTTCTTGTACCCCCAAGAGTGGCCTTGTATGCACAGGTTCTCTGCCATTGAAATCCAGCTGGCTCTGGCCTCATCTATTCCTGGCCCTCTTAACTGAGCACTTCCTAGTCTCCAGAGGCCTCTCCTCTAGCATGGGTGTAGCCAGGAATGTCACCCATGCTGATCCCCAGGGACTTTGAGTTTCAGGGAAATTCAAGTGCAGATACTTAGCTCCTCATTCTGAAGATGCGAACAGGGGAGACAGGCTGGAAGGTTTGAGCGGGGCCTACAGCCAGACCTTCCACCCTGAACAGGACACGGGGAATCGTCCAACCCGGATGGTCCTGACCCTGGGTGGCCAGAAGGGCTGCCAGGAGCACAATTTGAGTCACTGCTCCATATAGACACACACCATGCACAAATGTGTACATAGAGACACAGACAGACACACTCACAGCCATGTGTGCACAGGCAGCTTCATCTGGCTGTCATTAGCTGTTATCTGTGTCTCAGGGTAAGGTGCGTCCAGCTAGCATGGCCACCTGTAAACCCCCACACTGTGCTGACCTTGCCATGAATGGAATTTCCTGCTTGCTCTTTGACCTTAAATCAAATACACGTTTCTCCTCCGTGTTTTCCAGGACTTTTCTCTCTTTCTATGTCAATGTTTAGCTTTTAAGGAGTCTGGGATTACTGGTGGGTCAAAGGTGACTTCGTAGCCATGGAGCAGCCTGGCCCTTGCCTCCTGTCCTGCCTGGAGCTGTTCACTTCCTTCCTGGTGTGTGTGCCGGGGATGAGAGCACAGGGAAGCCCTGCTCCCTCCACCCTTTGTACCCGTGCCCTGGACCTGAACCAAGACCTAAGCACCAGTGTGGGCCACAGCCAGAGCTGACCCCCAGGGGCAGAGTTGGACATGGGCATGCAAACAATCCGGAATTTCCATGCTGAACTGAACCTAGCCAGCCTTCCCATGTCACTCAGGAAGTGTGCCTGAGGCAAACCTTCAGAGCAGCCTCAGGAAAAAGTACGGCAAAGCAGCTCTCTGCTCCCTGCCTTTTGAGTGGGAGCCTTCGCTTTGCAGCCGAGAGAGAGCATGCTCCCCGCTTCTCCCATCCTGTGGGTTCTTAGCGTAGAAGAAAGTGAAAACCACCTTAGCTACCTCTATGGCCCTTTTCCATGGAGCCACTGTCTCTCTTAGGAAGTCACTCATGCATCTTTTCATTGGGAGGCAACAGGTACAGAGCCCACAGAAACCCCTTCTGAAGTGGGAGCCCGAGAGAGGCCTCAGTGATTGAACACTGCCTGCAATTCCACTGGACCTGTGTTCGATTTCCTGCACCCACCCTCATGGCAGCTCACAACTCTCTTTAACTATGGTTCCAGGGGGATCTAATGTCCTCTTCCAGCCTCCTCAGGCACTTGCAGTTAGGGGGTGCATAGACACCCATGTGGACAAAACATGTGTACACATAATTTTTTTGAAATCCACATACACTTCCCAAGGTTCCAAAGCAAGGTAACTCTGCATGTCAGCAAGTCTATGTTGATTGTGTCACTGGGGCCCTGGCAAGGTTAAATGGTTCAGAGGGACCGCTACTTTATCTCAGGGTATGTGTGCCTACATGTATATCAAGCTTTGGAGGCGACAAAATTGGATGAGGCCATGAGTCCAGCAGCCTCCCACCATTGTCTGTGAAGGCCTCTCAATGTAGAGCACCTGCCCTGTGGAATAGGCTTCCTTCTCCGTGACTTGGTGATGGGGGGACTGAAATAGGGCCTGCGATGAGCTGTAGAATCCCAGGAGTATGTCACACCTATAACCTCAACTACTTACAAACCAAGGCAGGAAGATTGCACATTTGAGCTAGTCTGTGTTACACGGGACAGCTTAGTCTCCAACCCACATGGCAAGTGGGACTATGGGACATCTCTCCCTGGACCGACTTACTTCCCACGGTGTTCTGCCTTTTGTGTACCAATTAACTGAGCGGTAACTTGCTGTGGTTGTTGATTTACCACGTGTTCCGTCCATGTTCTGCAGGCGTACCTTCAGCCTGTAAGATGCAACCAGGAGGTCTAAACAAGGTGTCAGTGGCCACACTGAACCCATTATTAGGGAACCCAGGGATGCCTGAGCGCCTGTCCTTAGAACATTGCTCCATGGCCTCCATCAATACCTTGAGGTACCAGTGACATGAGAAGGTGTGGATAAACTCACTCCAAAGGAGGGGTCACTTGAGTAGAACATGCCCGGCCTCTGGATGTCTGTGTGCCACCCCCTCAGCTGCTACTTAGACTTGTCCCCAGGCTGCTACCACCCTGAACCCAGTCACTGCCAGAAGCCTTCATTTTGGTCTGTACAGCCTCCTACCAACCTTGTATGGGAGGGACAGAAGTTTCTCTGGCCCAGAAGCAAGTCACCAGGATCAGAGCTGAAGAGGCAATGTCCCTGCAGAGCCCTATCCCAGCTTGGCTACTACCTTGGAAAGTTCTGGAATGCCCAGAAGGAAGCTGGGTTACACCAGGCTGCCTTTGCACAGACACCCGAGCTGAAGCTCCTCTTCCTGGGTGGGAGGGATTGTTAGGAACCTGTCAACTCCCAGAATTGCTGTTTTTCCTCTAGAATGCATCATGCTGTGTGTTTAACAGTTATTCAGAGCCTAGCTCAGTGAGAAAGGGACTACATTGACACAATGGGCACTGTCCTTTGGCTGAAAACTGAGGTGTGGTCATAAAATAACATATAATTTATTTTCTTCCTCAAGAACCCAGCTTTGGACAGCATTTCCAGGCATTCCCAGCATTTCTGAGGAGATATCCTGGCCAGTAGCTTGTTGGCAGGCACGCTCTCCAGTTAGCTGGGACCCCGGGAATGTGACTGAGTCTCACCCTGCTCTTCCCTGACATTGCCTGTTTGCTTTTTGACTGGTGGGGAGGTGAGGGAACCCCACATATCAGTAGCATGGGCAGGTGTGGATGCCTGTGCTGTGAGCCACCATCCTCCTGAGACCCTCAGCTACCAACCTGGCTAGTTCCATGCTACTGTTTCTGGTGACACCATCTGTATCTCTTTGTCACCAGTGGAAGGACTTAAAGTGGTGGAGATTGAAAAATGCAAGAGTGACATTAAAAAGATGCGGGAGGAGCTGGCAGCTAGAAACAGCAGGTAAGTCTATTCCCGGAGCCTGCAGCAGCTGGAACCAGAGAGAGCTCTATGTGTGGAAACCATGGGATGGAATATGGCTTTGTTTCCCCAAATAGTAAAGCTAATGGGACCTGGCTGTTCTGGTTCCAACACGGCCAGCCCAAGCTTAAGGAAGCCCTGTTGTATCAAAGCAACTCGATCCCATTTTCTTAGAGTTTGGTTTCAATTTTTAAGACTTATTTTGATTTTATGTGCACGGGCGTTTGCTGTATGTGTGTCTGTGCACCATTTGCATATCTGGTGCCCATGGTGGCCAAAAGAAGGTGTCAGATCCTCCAGAACTGGAGTTACAGACAGTTGTGAGCTGCCCTGTGGGTGCTGGGACTAGAAGCAAGGTCCTCTGCAAGAACAGTAAGTGCTTATAGCTGCTAAACCATCTTCCCAGCCCCCTATGTTTTCTTTCTTTCTTTTTTTTTAAGATTTATTTACTTATTATATATAAAGCGTTCTTCCTGCCAGTCTGCAGATCTCATTATAAGTGGTTTTGAGCCCCCATGTGGTTACTGGGAATTGAACTCATGGCCTCTGAAAGAGCAGCCAGTGCCCTTAACCTCTGAGCCATTCCTCCAGCCCCCATGTTTTCTTTAAAAGTGGTTTTGTGGCAGGTGTAAGCTGGAAAATGTCCAAACATGAGAGGGAAATAACTCTTCCCCAGAACAGTGTTATAGTAATTCCCCACTTGAAGGAAGTTAATGTCTGCTTTTTTATTATTTTGTTTGGGGGGGGATTGTTTTTGTTTGTTTAGCTCTGGTTGTCTTGGAACTCACTCTGTAGACCAGGCTGGCCTTGAGCTAACAGAGCTCTGTCTCCTGAGTGCTGAGATTAAAGACATGAGTCAACTGTTAACGTTTATAGAGAAAATGGTAAGAAGACAAAGGTGTTTGGCTTATAGGGAACAAGCACCCAGTTTTCATCCCCAGGTCTCCCAGTTCCCATTGGGAGGCCCCCTCTGGCAGAGAAGTGTTCCCATTATCATCAACTTGGATCACACAGCCCATCAAAGTTGATGTCCTCAGAGGCTGGTGACCAATAATCCAAGCAAAGCATGCCTCCTGAATGGTTGGTTAGCAGTACTATCCAACAAAGCCTGAGTGCACAGCTACAGGGCAACCTCCTGAGCAAGGACCAGCCCTGAACAAATGACCTCAGTTGTCTTAGAATCCCAACCTTTACTGGAGAACACTGCCTGAATTCAACAAAGGCAGGCTGCCTGCTGAGGGCAGGGTGTGGCTCTTGTCTGCAGGTAGGAGGTATAGGGAAAGCTGGTGGTCCCCACGGAGTCCCACCATGATGGCCAGCCTGGTTGTCTCGGGGAGGACTCATAGGGACCATGTCACATTTACTGTTCCATTTAACTTGGGTGAAGGCAGGGAAGAATATTGCAGCCATAGGAAACATAATAAACAGTTCTCTCCCATTGTCCTTGTGAAAGTAGCTCTTCAGGGGTCAAGAGAGTCCCTTATGTGTGGGCTATAAGAAGAACCCGGGTTCACATGGCGTGCAGATAGTCAGCTGAGCCAACCCAACAGCCTCTGACCCAAGGCCTCACTCAGCCTGCTATCACCCCGAGAGGCATGCCTCCCAGAACCAGGTAGGGGAAAGTGGCCTCTGTGCCAGCCCCTATCAGCAGCGCCTGCAGTCTGCCTGGAGTTGGTCTTTGGCTTGGCTCAGTGACAAGTGTACCTCTGACCCTACAGGTATAGGTTAGAGCTCACAGAGACATAAGGCAGAGCCCTCCAGCGCCCCCAACAGGCTTGCAGAGGCAGGATTCTCTGCAGACAGTGCGGGGGGAGGGGGGGCATCCTTGTAAGGGTGAGATGGGTCAGTGGGATGCTCCACAAGTGGGTGAAATACTCAGGCTTCACCTCCCTATGAGCAAACACATCCGGAGCACTGGGCTGTGGGCTAGTCCATGCCTGGTCCTGGCTCCAGCCCCTGTGGCTGCTTTTCTACCCAACCCAGTGCTTTAGTGCTCTGGATGCAGAATGGAGAGTGTGGTGTTTGTGCTGCCCCTTTGGTCTTCTTGATGGAAGGAGTCCATTTTAAGTACAGATGCACAACCCCCAGGACGAGGCTGTGTGGCCTCACCTGGACTGTGAAGAAAGGTTGTACCCTCGAGAGGTGCAGGTGCCACATGCCTGCCTTTCTCAGGGATCAGAGAGAATAAGAGATAGTGAGAGGGTGCAGCTAGCCCCACACTCATGAGCCTGAAGAACAGACGGACATTAGCCCACTTGTGAACACACCCTGATGGAGATCTGAATCCACCAGAACCCACCTGGGGACAGCAGGGAGCACAGACACAGCCTGCCAGGACCCTTGGCAGAATATCTTCTCCTTAGATCCCCCCCCCCCCCAGATTCCTGTTTCCCTGAAAAGAAAGAATTGTAATGGCCAGGTCACATTCAGGGCAGAAGCCAGCTCTACTGGGGAATATGCTACTGTGGTCCCTGGCACCACTCAAGGAGTAGGAAGCAAGGCCAGGGTAGGGGTAAAGCAGAAGCATGGGATGGTGACCGAGGCTTGGAGTCTGTAATCTCTGCCTTTGTCCCAGACAAACAGCCTTGACCAGGAATAGAGCCCCAGGGGAGGGGAGGATGGGAAGCCCAGGAAATGAGGCAAAAATGAGCTCCAAATGAAAGGAACAAAAAGAAGAGGCACTATGCCAGTTGCTTGGCCAGATGAAAGATGCTGGTTCCTGTGGCAACGGGGCCCAGGAGAAGTGGCTGGCCGAGGCACGGCATAATCTGCAGGCCCCTGACATCCTGGTCTGCTCCCAAGGCCTCAGTCAGCAGGATGGGACCAGATTCCAGCAGTCAGCATCATGCCTGGTGAGGGCTTCCATATGCTCTGGGGGAATGCAGAAGACACACAGGACAGAACACATGTGCAAATGTTTATACAAATGAGGCAGAGGGAGAAAGGAGGCAATGTACCCTACACAGCCAAGAGCTGGGCTGACGTGAAATCAGAGGGGGTGGCGTGTGGACAAGGCAGGGCTAGAATGGCTTAACTGGGCTATTGATTGATTCCTTCTGTTATAAATCTATGTTTGGTACAGAGACCGTCACAACTACCTGATAGTTTCTGCAGGTGTGCAGTTGGGAGGGAAGCAACCAAAGGCTGTGTTTCAAAGGGAATAGATCTATGATTCTGGACTCAGAAACATCAAGGGGGTCACTGGGAGTGACAACATCCAGGCACTCCTTCAATTTAAATTCATTGCAAAGTCTCCCTCCCTGATGGTTTCCTGGGTGTGTTCATTTTCATGAAAAAAAGAAAAAGAAATGAAAAGAAAAAAGAAATGACCTTTTATACTGTTTTGTGGCCTTTTTAAACTTGTAATGCTATGAAAAAAATTAAGTAGATAATATTGTAACTGTACAGGTCGTAGATTTTCCCCCAGCAAGTGCAGTTGGAACGCTCATATGTCCAGCCATGTGTTTCTGGGCCTCACTTTCGGAAAGGACACACAAGCCAGAGCACTCTGCCATAACTAAATTGTTCTTCTCCCCTCCAGGACCAACTGTCCCTGTAAATACAGTTTTTTGGATAGTAAGAAATTGACACCTCGAAGAGATGTCCCCACTTATCCCAAGGTAAGATAGATTTCTGGCCCAGGGACAATTCTAGCTCCATGTTCCCCAGACCCAGGACTTGGGAACCCATGGCTAGCCCCTCAGTCTGCACATTGACAGCAGACCCTCTCTATCCCTGTCTCAGGCTGAGGAAGGGTGGGAGGTGGTCAGGCAGGATATTTTTCTCTTAGACATTTGTTTAGAGAAGCAATTCCTGAGTGGGGGATGTAACAGCCCTTCTGGCTCCCTCCTGGGCCCACAGCTGACAGTAAAAGACATCTGCATGCAAACATTCCACTAAGGAACTTTAACAAGGCTCTTAAAAACCTGCATCACTGGCTCCCCTGTCCATGAACAACACAGTTTTTATGGAAAGCTCTGCACATAAGTTTTCTGAGTTTTAAAAGCAGCCAAGCCCCACGTCAAGTATCTATGACCTGTGGTTAACTTGTTTTTGATGCCTACAAAGAGCAACACCTTCACAGCAGTGGCCTCTGCTTAAACCCTGGCTCACACTTTTGCACTGAATTTAGGTAGACCACCCACAGGTTCTCCTGGAAGCCCCATAGGTACCCTGGGCCCACTAGTCAGTGACTTGCTCAACATTGGTCCAAGCATGCACCCTGTGTCATCCAGGAGACCAACCCCTTTCCACATGGGAAAATATGGCCAACATCTTTTGCGATCCTGTCCAGGGATTACACAGCCCAGACCTGGAACAAATTGAGCCAGCCATCACACCAATCCCTTAAGAAAATGAAGAAGGCTAACCCGAATGGCAGCTCTACTGCTGCCTCATGTCCTAGATTCTGACACCCCTTCATCAGCCGGTTTGTGGCTTAGTTCAAGGCTGATTGTGGTGCTTTCCCCCACAAGATGAACCCAACAGAGCTTCTTGGCAAGGATTTGAATATATACGTAGTGGCTTATCATCCCTTCTCTTCACTTTGTATAGCTTTTACTATTGAGGTTTAATTGACAGCTGTGGAGCTCATCTTCTTAAACTCTGACACTTGTAGTCATGAAATTACTGCCATGATAAATATAGGAAACATTTCTATCACTCAAGCATTCCTAGGAGCCTCTAGTAGTCCCTAGTACTAGAAGACCCTAATAGCCCAGGCCACTACAGATGGGAGTCTGTTAACAGTTTCCAGAGAAAGGCAGCCCTGAGTCTGTACACAGTGTCTGTGAGGTGGAAGGGAGAACAGAGAAAATGCTTACCAGGACTGCCATGGGCATGGCCATTCTCACTCACAGATGCCCTGCTATCTGGCTCACACACCACTCCCATCTTTCTAGTACCTGCTTTCCCCAGAGACCATCGAAGCCCTGCGGAAGCCAACCTTCGATGTCTGGCTGTGGGAACCCAATGAGGTAGGTGAAGGACATCCCGGTTCCCTGGTCACTGGGGACAGCTACACAGAACTACAAATTCAGGCTTCTCTCCTGTGTATTTTTTTTTCTGCCTTTTTTTCAACAAATTTTATTTTATTAACTCTTTATGCACATTGGCGTTTTGCCTGCATGTATGTAAATGTCTGAACTGGAGTGAGAAAGTTGAGTAACCTTCATGTGGGTCCTAGGAACTGAACCCTGCTCTACTGGGCTCTTTTGGAAGGGATGCAGGTGCTCTTAGCCACTGAACCATCTCTCCAGCCATCCTTTTTTTTTTTTTTTAAAGTTAAACACCCCTGAATTATATTTTAATTCAAAATGACACTCAATGGGTTTAGAGGGGCTGCAAGAGACAGAGCCCAAGGCAAAGGAGCTTTAACAGAGCTTAAAACAAAACAAAAAATCCAAACAGCAAACCCTTGGCCTTCTGATGTGCTGAATGCCCTTGGGCAACTAGCTGAACCCATGCCCGAGGCTAGGCTGACCTATCTGTAGGAGACTTGGGAAGATAGAGCCATGTAAAGGCAGAGCTACTGCTTGGACCAGCTATTTCCTTCAGGGAGGGGCCTCCAAAGGAGCAGCCTGCTTCCAAGAGTTGCCAGTAGAGGCCCCCAGACAGATGGACACATGATAGAGGATTTGTGAGATTTGCAGAGAGAGGAGTTGCTTTTGACAGGAAGAGATTTCCTCAAAATTTCTCATTCGCTAAGAAGTATCAAAGTGGAAACTGAAAGAACAAGTCCTCTCCTCGTGGACAGCTCCCCAAAACCTAAGGACTCTTCCCAGCTTTTCCAGATCACCTCTCTTTTTCAGTGAGGGCAACGACACATCCCCCCACAGCTTTACGCATGAGGTCAGGATGTGACCTCACGTTGCTCTGGTGCTTCCCGTCTCTCAGGCATTCATCCTGAGGCTGCAGACAGTAAGGGTGCTCTGCCACACTGAAGGACCACCCACTGTCACCTTGGAAGTCCTCTCCTCTTGATCAATACTCATCATCATCTCCAGAAGCCGCTGCACATTCATTCACTTACTCAGCTGGGGTTGAAGACAGTCTAGGGAACAGACCATTACTACTTCTCTGAAAGCCGCCATGTCTGTCACAAAAGTGGCAGCAGATGGTTGCGTCTGGCAGTTCTCAGCATCTCTTAACTGTGATTTCATAGCACATATTTCATCTCTTTGGGGTTGCTCAGAACACTGTCTGGGCATCTGGGACAAAAACAATGGTTTGAGGCTGCAGCTCAAGGGTCCTGAGGGTTGGTATCCAGGATGGTGGGAGGGCTGGTAGCTCTGGATGGACAGTGACTGCCAGCACCAGGAGCCAGCCATCCTCGAGCCAAGGCCAGAACACCTGCCACTCTGCAGGAAGTGTCTTCTAGAGCCATCATCTTCAAAACCATTGGCTTCTCCAGACAGATGAGTGCATGGCAGCGAGCTCTCGGGATGCTCTGCAATAGCCTAAGTCTCCCTAAGAGGTCTGGGTGAGAAATTGTTGTCTCTTTCCCAAATGAACTCTTTGCAATACCACAGAATTCTCTGCTGCCAACAAAATTAAAATATCATAGTCACAAAACTTCACCTTAACTACAATATTCCCATACCATACCTATTACATAAGAAAAAGAAAAGAACTCAGTGGCATGCCCACACTTCCTTTGACAGTCAGCTATGTCAGACCACCAGAGACTGGGCAGCTTCAACAACAGCAATGTGTTATTGTCTCATTGTCCCCGAGCCAGAAGATCGAGGTCAAGGTGCCTTGGGTCGGGCATTCCCGTGCTGCCCCATTAGCTTTCAGATGACATCTTCTCTCAGTCATCTTTGTGTGTCTGTGTCCTAATCTGTCCCTACAGGGTCATGGTCAACTTGAATCCTGATGACCATATTTATCTTAGTTGCCTCTGTAAGAACCCTGTCCCCAATATGGTCATGTTGGTGGGGGTGTCACATCAGGGCCTCCAAATACCATGTTGATGGGACACAATTCAGTTTCTTACATGGATTTGCCACTTGGTGCCCAGATGCAGGGGAAACAGACCAGGCTACAACACTGACAACCATTGCCTTGTGCAGGTACAAGGATGCTGGGACACAGAACTAGGCAGGCACTGGTGTGTGGCCTAGAGGGACATGCTGCCTGCTGGGGTCATGCCATGTGTCCATAAGGCTGTCTCACTCTGCTCTGGATTGCAGATCTCCTATCTCCCTGAGACCTACTTTTCCCAGATACAAAGCCACTCTAGCCTGGCCTAGTTAGAAATTCCTTTTCTATTACTCATTGGCTTAGTTAGTGTCAAAACTCTGGGAGATGTCTGGAGAGTCCTGGAAAAAAAAAAAAAAAAAAAAGACAGCAGAATTAAACAGCACATGTGTCTCACCAAGTGTCCATAGATGACAGAATTCCTGGAAATAAGATTTCTCCAGACAACAGGTCCACCCTCTAGGTCAAGACTAAGACAGCAGAAACCATCTCCAGCCCCAACAAGAGGAGCGGGCTCCAGCTCATCAAAGCCCTTCCTACCTCTAGCCTTGAGCAAGCAGTGGGTGGCCCCCAATGACACCCCTTCCCACGTGTACAGTGGAGGAACTTCCTCCAAACCCTTAACCCGGTTATGGTCCCTTTGGTGTAACCCTCTGAAGTGGTGTCTCCCTACATGGGTTGTTACCATGGCTGAAATGCTCAAGGGGTTTTCTGGCCTTGTCACCTCACTCCCAGGAGGCCTACAGGCTGTCACAGACCCATAACCCACCTGGGTGATCCTACGATTGGCCTGTTCCCCCCTCCCCCAGTCACCCCTTATGGCACTGTTCAAGACAGTGCATGGGAAGGAGGGTCAGCTGGCCAGCCTGGTCCCCCTGACCTCTGACCTCTCACCCTATTCCCACAGATGCTGAGCTGCTTAGAGCATATGTACCATGACCTCGGCCTGGTCAGGGACTTCAACATCAACCCCATCACACTCCGCAGGTGGCTGGTGAGTGATAAGCCCCACACTCAGATCTGTCACTTCCTCCCTGCCACACCAGAATGGCCTGCCCTACATTTCCTGATGGCAGTGGGCTCCGGCAATGTGGGTGTCAGTGCCTGGGGAGTTCTGTGAGGTCTTTTGTCCCATCTGTCCTCCCATGCCATGCCCTCAGAGGACTGAGGAAATAGCACAACAGTCAGGGAGAGACCCACAAGGCAGCACACTAAGGCAGGGAGGGGTGTGTAGAGTTGGCGGTGTCATGTGTGCCTGGGGGAGTGTGTGTAACAGGGTTATATGAGTATGTGGGGTTATGTCTTGAGTATATACATCTGTGTGTGTGCGCGTGTGTCTCTGGGCATGTGCATGTGAGTATGTGTGTGACTGTCTGGGAGTGTGTGTGGGTGAGAGAGTCCTTCTGGGAGTTTGTGAGAGTGTACATGTCTGGGTTGTGCGTGGTGTGGGTGGATACACACACACACACACACACACACACACACACACACACACACACACCTATATATGGGTAGCATGGGTGCTTAGTAGCTGAACTTTTGCTAAGGGATAAAATGTTATCATGAATCAAAAACCTGTTAATTGCCCCATAGGCCTGGGATCCTAGAGCCCCTTGTGGAATGCTTCCTGTCACACTCCCAACTTTCTTTCCCTGTGTGGCTCAGCAGACACCTGGGGAATACTTAAGTCCCTGTCCCCAGGTTGTACAGTGGTGGGACATTGCAGGGCTCCTGGGCTTGAGCATGCAGCACCCTGGGAGCCTTATGGTAGTAGGGGTCATGAGGTAACCCTTTCCTCCCCGCAGCTCTGTGTGCACGACAACTACAGGAACAACCCCTTCCACAACTTCCGACACTGCTTCTGTGTGACGCAGATGATGTACAGCATGGTCTGGCTCTGTGGCCTCCAGGTGGGTCCTGCCAGCCCCACGCTCTATCCCTAACTCTGCTGAGCGCCTGAGCCCTCTGCTCCCCCAGCCCAGGGGGTGTATAACCTCTGCAGGGACTGTGTCCTCTCCTGTCACTGCAGCCCAGTCTGTCCCCACCCCTCCTGCCCTCCCATGAGGAGGACAGATGTCTGACTCTCACCTAATCCAGGAGAAGTTTTCCCAGATGGACATCTTGGTCCTGATGACCTCAGCCATCTGCCATGACCTGGACCACCCAGGGTACAACAACACGTACGTGTGGGTTTTTTTCTCCTTTCTCCTTTGAAAAGTGCCCCTTCTCTCGGGGGAAACTCAGCTAACCCTTCCACAGCTCTCAGATGGAGTTGCCAGCCTAGACCCCTAACCCTACAGGATGCCGTTCCCAACTTCTAGACTTTGTATAGAGTCCAGGGCCTCCCCTGGGAGGGTACCTTCAAGGCTACCAACTGCACAGGCAGCCACAGTCCCTTTGTGTCAGCCCCAGGCCAGTGGGACCCACACCATTCTCTGCCAGAATGCTCCCTCTCCAGGCTACTTCCAAAGGCACAGGCAGAGGACCAGGGCTAGAGTGAGTGAGGGCAGGGCTGGAGAAGTGCAGGTGATGGAGTCAAGAGGATGGGCCCAGGTCTGGGGACACTAAGCACCTTCTGTCTCCGTTATGTAGAATGCTACCCCATAGAACCAACAGAGTCCTCCTCATGGTGTGGGCTTGCATTCAGGGACATGGATTTGTTTGTTTGTTTGTTTTTGTTTTCCAATGTACCTTTGTGACTGTGCAGTGACATCAGATGTCCTTGGGCCATGCCATCATTTGTCAGAACAGAGTGGATCCCAGTCTAGCCACGTGTGCTCCTTAGAGGCGGTCAGGACAAAATAGATGCCAGGTGTGGCCGTGAGCACTCCTCAATGGCAGTCCCAGTAACTCATCTATTACCTTTCTGCACATGTATTGGTCACCACAGCTGTCAACAACAGACCAGCAAAAAGTTCAGTTTGGCATTAATCTCAAAATCCAACCCTCAGAATGGCACAGTGGGGCTCTTCCTGTAATCCCAGCTCTTGGAGGCTGAGTGAGGCAAAAAGATCCCAGGTACCAGGCCACCCTGGGCTACAGAATGAGTTCCTGTTATACGTGCATATTTATATGTACATGGCGGGGGTGAAAAAATAAACCTATTTCCTCTTTCCCGAAATCCCGTCTTCGTATATATTGAAAATCTGACAGTTGCTGGAACCTCAATGCCTTCAAGGCATCACCCCAGGAAGAGAGCTGAGGTCATGGCATGGGATATCTAGTTGCAGAAGCATGTGAGTCAGGAGTTCAACTGAAGCGGTTTCTAGTGTGAGCAGATGGCATATGGTCACTAACCCTTAGGCGCTTCCAGCTTCTGCAGGAACCATGTACACCATGGTATACAAACACCAGTGGCAGGGTGTCTGAGCTTTCTGGTCTCTCCACACATCCTAGATACCAGATCAACGCCCGCACAGAACTGGCTGTGCGCTACAACGACATCTCACCGCTGGAGAACCACCACTGCGCCATTGCCTTCCAGATCCTGGCGAGACCCGAATGCAACATCTTCTCCAGCGTGCCACCTGAGGGCTTCAGGCAGATCAGGCAGGTGTGTGGGGCCAGGGCTTTGTGGGGTCAGAGCAGAGCCACACACAGCAGTACCCATCAGGGACCCTAAAACTGGCCTTCCTTACCTGCTTCCTCCAGGGCCCAGAGTGGTCTCCAAGGAGATGGGCACCTGATGTCACCTGCATGTCATTGCCATTAGTACAACCCTACTAGCTCCCTTTGAGATGACACCTGTGTCCCTGCAGACAGGGGAGAAACAGAGGAAAGAAAGAGAAGTGGCCCGAGGTAGTACAGGGCATGGACAGGCACCTTCGTTGTATGCAGCCTAGTAGAGCTGGTATCTGCCTTGGAGCTTCAGCTACTGTCATCCATCACATGGGGCATTGTCATTCATCTCCATTATGACCTGTACCAGCTGATTACCCTGCCTAACCACCGAGACAATCACTTTTAGTCACTTAAAACATTGCCCTCCCTGGCTGGAGGGATGGCTCGGTGGTTAAGAGTGCTGGCTGCTCTTCCAGAGGCAGAAGTTTTGAGTTCTATTCCCAGCAACCCCATGGTAGTTTATAAACCACCCATAATGAGATCAATCTGGTGCCCTCTTCTGGTCTACAGGTGGCCTACAGGCCTAGATTCAATACCCAGCACTGAAATAATAATAACAGGATTAACAAATTTGAAAAAAAAAATTGCCCTCCCTATTCATAAGGTCCCATCTGAACCATAACTGAGTGAGCCATTAGTCACCCAGGGTGACTCCTGTAGGAAATGTAGTGGTGCAAGGTAGCTGACCCTCAGAACCTTATTTGGAAAGGGGGGGGGCTTGACATATCTACTTAAGTAAGATCTCCAGATGCTGCTGTGGATTGGGCCCTACATGCATGAGGGAAAGAGGAGAAAGGGACATGAAGACAGCAAAAGACTGTGGGACAACAGAGGCAGATACTGGTGTAGACAAAGCCAAAGGAGCATGAAGGAACCTTCTCTCAAGCCTTAGGAGGAGCAAGAACATTATGGCACCTTCATCTTAGTCTTCCAGACCTCAGAACTATAAGGGATTGTATATTCCCCAAGCCAGCAACACCCAGCCAGGCCACCCAGGCTATATGCACTTAAGGAACATCTCCGGGTTCTTTGAGGGTCATGTGTTGTCATCTCTTGGGGATCATGCCCTTTGGGTCTCAACTGGCCTCTTTCCCTACAGAACTAAATTGAAGCAAGGGAAAGCCTCATCTGCCTCCTTCCTGGAGTACCTATAAGCTTGGCTCTTTCAAAGAGCAGCCACCTCATAAACCATTATTTCCATTTTTGTCTGCTCCCGGAGAAGTCCAAAGCTAACTGTAATGCTTGGCAACAGTCAGTATCGGGTCACTGATCCACAATGCTGCCCTCTCCTCTATCCGTAGGCTTCTAACTTTCTTCATGTTTACAGCTCCACCCTCTAAGTCTGTGCCATAGACTGTTATGACAAACTACAACAACCCTTCTCTATAGTGGGTAAAGGGCCTGCTAGGAAGAGAGATGGCCACACAGGCCAGTGCCACCCAGTGACTACCCAAACGGCCTGGTGGAGTATCCCTTAGTGTGTGTCTTTCTCCAACAAGGTACATCAAGCAGCACCCCAGAAGAGAAAGATAGTCATCTAATTGGATGAGTAGACAGTAAGTCCCTACCAACAGGGTGGTCTTCATGACGGCCACCATGGGGATAACAAGGACTTGTCCTATTCCAGAAGTTTATGAGTTTGGAAATAAGACTTTTTACTCAGAGCATCACTATCATGCACTTTGCTAATACCTCACAAGCACTGCTGGTACAGCTAGCAGAGAGCACCAGGCTTTCTGGAACATTTAGGGAACCTTAAGTGTGCTCCCGTAAGCCTGTTGTAAAACCACCTGAACATTGCCAAGAATAAAGTCAAACGCCATGTTCCAAACTGGGGGATGGGGGGACTTTTTCTAGAAACAAAGATCACTTACCCAAATTTTTAAGATATTTTATTTTAAATAATGAGATGGCTCAGTAGGTAAAACACTTGTCACATAAGCCAGACAACCTGAGTTCAGATCTCCAGAACCCTCATCAAAGCTAGACACAACAGTATTAGTGTCTATATAATTGTAGTGCATACCTATGGAGACAGAGGTGGAGACAGAATTCACTGGTACTCACAGGTCAGCTAGCCCTGTGTGCACTGTAGTGAACACCAGGAGACCCTACCTCTAACAAGGCAGAAAGCAAGGACCAACAACCAAGTCCCCCGACCTCCATGTGTACTAATTATGGCATGTGTGTACCCACACTCACACATACTGTTAATAACAGCCTTTACAGAAAATAAAAGTTCGTTATTCAAAATGCAAGGTGACATGTCCCCTCCACACACATACAAGAAATATACATTTGGAATTTTTCATATTGGCTGTTTAACTTTGGCATTTGAGGCTGAAGGTCTTATATTCTTGGAAAAGTAAAAACTCTACCCCTGGTACAGAGATGTTATGTAAATGTTTTGTGGGATGGATGGATGGATGGATGGATGGATGGATGGATGGATGAATGGGTGGGTGGGTGGGTGGGTGGGTGGATGGGTGGATAGGTGAGTTGGTGGCAGACAGTTGGAGAGATGGTGAATGGGTAGGTGTATGAGAAGATGATGGATAGGTTTAATTCAGATGCATGAGTAGGGGAATGGATAGTAGACGGTTGGATGAAGGAAGCATGGGTGGATGGCAAATGGATGGTGAATATATGATGGATGTAAGGATGGGTAGACATCTAGACAAGTAGGATATAGAAGATGCATGGAAAGCTAGATGGACAGAAGGAGAAAAGAGAGACTGGGTAGGTGATTATAGTTTTGGGGTTGTTGTTGTTTTGGGGTTTTTGTTTGTTTGGGTTGGGCTTTTTTGTTTTGTTTTGGTTTGGTTTTTGGTTTCCTGGAACTAGCTCTTCAGACCAGGCTGGCCTCGAACTCACAGAGATCCTCCTGCCTCTGCTTCCTCTTGGCTGTGATTATAGTTTTGAATTGTGCTACTTTTCCTAAACCAGTATTTAGTTAACTGCCTTAGCCTAGTTTAAGCTGCTATAATAAAATACCACAGACTGGGTGATTTTAAAAGGGAAGAGGTTTGTGTTCACTTATGGTTCTGGAGGCTGGGAAGTTTAAGAGTTTGGCATCCACATCTGCTCTGTTTCTGGTGAGGGATTCGGGCAGAAGGTTAAAGGGCAGGAGTGAGAATTCACTCCCTGTGGATTTAACCCAGTGCTGGGTGGGATAGGGGAGAATATGAATTGCTTCATGAGGATTGAACCTAAACACTTCTTAAGGACCCCACTTCTGCCTAACACAGTCACTCTAGGGACCAGATTTGAACCTGAGTTTAGGAGGGCATCAGCCATGTTCAAACCATAGCATAGTTTACAAGCCCATTGGATCCTCATTTATAAGCTCGATAGTGAGAATGTTACCAAGTATGTTCTGACTTAGATAACCTATATGCAGCCACATATAGATGAGACAATGGGAAAATTGTCTTGGGAACTCCATTACTGATACCCATTAGCAAGCTGTGAGCAGGGTTAATTGCAGACCTAGGTGACTTGAGCCTTGGCTAAAAGCTGCTTAGTTTTCCAAGTCAGCATAACGACCCATCCATTACCCTATCTACCTGTGATCCGCAGCCTGTGGACATGGCACAGGGTCAGACAGAACACATGTGTGGGTGATTGTCACACAGGAACTCAGAGCACAGTGTGAGGAGTGCTCACTGAGGTTCTGGGATGTGGTGACACCGTGTCTTCTTGCCATCCAGGGGATGATCACATTGATCTTGGCCACCGACATGGCGAGGCATGCTGAAATCATGGATTCTTTCAAAGAAAAAATGGAGAATTTTGACTACAGCAATGAGGAGCACCTGACCCTGGTAGGTTGTGTCTTTTTTGTCTTTGGAAAGCTCAGTTGGGAAAGCCAGGAACCCAGATGTCTCTCACCTGGCCATGGAGTGCTGGAGTGACTAGATTTCAGTATCACAACTCCTCCTGGGCCAGCAGAAGACAAGGCTGCCTCCTGAAGTGTACAACATGGGTCAAGGACAACCTTCTCCTTCAAGGAGGTGGCCTAAGTGTACGTGGTGTCTGTCCCTTCTAAAATGCAAAATGCAAATCCAGCATGCTGGTTCATGCCTGTAACCCCAGTACTACAGAGGCTGAGGCAGGAAGATTGCGTCTACTTCAGACCCACCTGAGCTAACTATAATTCCAAACCAGCCTGGACTAGAGTGTAAAACTCTATCTCAAAAGTTAATTAACTTCAGCCGGGTGGTGATGGCACATGCCTTTAATCCCAACACTCTGGAGGCAGAGGTAGGTGGATCTCTGTGAGTTTGAGGCCAGCCTGGTCTACAGAGTGAGATCCAGGACAGCCAGGTCTACACAGAGAAACCCTATCTTGAAAAACAAAACAAAATTAATTAACTTCAAAAGGAACAAAATGCATTAACAAAATAATTAACAATCAGCATCCCCTCATACAGACATTAATTGCTCTGTGCCTTACTTTGGAGACATGCACCATAGTTTCTTTTAAAGCTGTTTATCTCTTTAAAACTAATGCTGTGGGGCTGGAGAAATGATTCAGTTAAGATGTCTTGCTGCTGTTGCAGAGGACTTGGGTTCAGTTCCCAATACCCATATGGCAGTATACCAGATCCAGGGGATCTGATGCCCTCTTCTGGCCTCTGCAGGTATTACACACATAGCACATATACACACAGGCAAAACACTCATAAACGTACATAAAATAAAAATAAATAAGTCTTTAAAACCAATAACGTCACTTTGCCTCTCTGACGGAGCTTACAGACAATAAATGAGGATGCCTTGCTTAGGTAGGACTGAACCTGTGACTTTTCATCCCGTGATGCAGAGCTGCCAGGAGCCCTTACTACAAAAGACTGAATCACAGCGAGCAGACAGTGATGCATAGAAGGAAGGGCCCTTGGGGATAACCTCTGAACAGGGGGAGGATGTGTCTTCCCCATGTCAGGGCCTCTAAGAGCACCCCCTTTTCTAGGGAAAGAAGAGAGGCATAGTTGTCTTTTTGTCCTTAGGGGATACCTCTCACGATCCCAGTGAGTACCTGAAGCCATGGGGAAGCCAAACCTTGTGTATGCTGCTTTTTCCTACTCACACATTTCTGCAATAAAGTTTAGCTTACAAACTAGGCACAGAAAAGCCCAACACCAAAATAAGGCAAGATAACAAGAGGACACCACAGCAAATAATAGGCAGCCAGTGTGTCCAAAAGGGACCAAAGTCCCAAAGAAAACTCCCATCCTGAGTAGGATAAAGGTGGTGTGAGACCTTTCTGTGTTGTTCAGAACAGCATGGAGTCCATCAGAACTGGTGGACTATTTATTTCTGGAACTTTCTATTTAATATTACTTGGGTAACTAAAAGCATAAAAAGCAAAAGAAAGGATAAAAGGGGAGCTATTGTACAGCCACATGGGATCCATGACAAGATCTGCTAAGGTGTGGGGAAAGATGTAAAGAATAAGGCTAAGGAAATCAGAAGTGACAGAGGAAAGCAAGTGGTCTGTACCCGCACACCTTGCTTCCATCTGTGATGTGAAGAAAGCTAGCTTCTAGGCTGCATGACAGGCCCGAGTTCAAAGGGTCTGCCCAGTGTGAAGGTGGGTAGATAGGGCCACAAGCCAGACCAAAGGCAGATCTGCCTACCTTGGTCTCTGCCCACCTCCTCTGCCTACCTGCCCACTGATCAGGAGGTACAGGAGGAACTGTCTGCCACCCAGGGCTCCACATCTCCCCTGGGAGAGGATCAGCCTGACTGCACTTGTATTAATGCAGGGCTCCTAAAGGCTTAGGGAATGAACTGATAAAAGCCTGGGAGAAAGAGTTCATTCATAGTCCAAGCCTGGGGGGGGGGGGAGGGCGGCGAGGAAGTGGAAGTATCCAGAATGGTATAGCCTGAAGACATATCAACGTGCCTGACCCAGCCACTACCGAGGCCACAGTGTCTAGTCTGGGGCAGTTCCCCCACGAGGTCAACCAGACCAAGCCTGTAACAGCTCTGGGCTGGAGCCAGTTCTAACACAGAGCAGCAAAGAAAGGCCCCTGCCCAGGAAGGAGAAATGGGGCCGCGGAGCAAATATCCACAAGTCCTTCAGGGCCCAGCCAGAGTGCAAGGTCTGCTGTGCAGACCTGAGGCCTGTGCACAGCCAGGCTGTGCCCCCCGCCCCCACACACACACACGGGAAAGACAACAAAGCAGGCAGGTCATAGCTTCAGGTCGTGTGCCTCCCACTGACATTCCTGCCTGTTCACCCTCAGACCCTGGACACTTTTATCCCGAAAGGTCACGTATTGATTGATGTCTGTGCCTGGCACAAGGCCAGAGCACCAGGTAACCACCTCCACGGCAGATGATGGTCTAGCTAGCTCAGGAGAAACACTTTGGCAGAATCCTTTGACTGTCCTAACGAAGCCTCCTGAGCTCCAGGGGAGTGGCTAGCTTCCTGCCTGGAAGGAAGTACACCCTCTGGGAGACCACACCCAAGAGGATGCAATGGGCATAAGACAGTACTACGAGGGACATCTGCTCTGGGGTGGCATGAAGGCCGAAAGGAGTGGACCTATATTTTGTCAAGGTCACTTCATGTATGATAGGCAAATACTGTACCCTCAGCCATATCCCCCGCGTTGATTTTACTTGGCAGGTTGAGACAAGGGTCTCATTAAGTCGTCCATCTAGACCACAAGCTCAGTGTAGCCTAGGCAGACCTTGAATTTGCAAATTCTTATCTTGGCCTTGTGATGACACTGTTTTGAGAACCTTTCATAGTGATACATACCTGTAATCTTAGCAGCTGGGGGGCAGGAGGAATAGGAGTTCAAGGCCAGCCTTGAGTCCTAAAGTCCACCCTGAGCTGCAGAGTGAGACAGTTTCAGCATAGGAGAGCCTGACAGTTTATAGTTGGTATTCTAAAAGCCTGTGTATCTGATGCTCTGCGGGCGTGGTGGGTCCCTATCCTTCCCCTGGGAAGCTGAGAGATCCGGACTGCTAGGATCGCAGAGCAGGGCACTGCAGCAGAGTGCCCGCCCTTCAAGGAAGAAAAGCTCCATGGCCTTCGACAGCCGGCATTCCTCCCCACACATTCCATCCTTTTCTCCACCTATGATGGCGAATCCAGCTCACCCACAGTAGTAGTGGGCATGCTCTGTCTGCCATTGCCCTGAGTGCACGTCTTTTTCAGCTCAAGATGATTCTCATAAAATGCTGTGATATCTCCAATGAAGTCCGTCCCATGGAGGTGGCAGAACCGTGGGTGGATTGTTTACTGGAAGAATATTTTATGCAGGTAAGAGACACCAAGACATCACCTTCCAGCTCCATGAGCAGGAACTGCATTGGAAAGAGCAGACCAGAAGCTGGAGAGATGACTCAGTGGTTAAGAACACTAGCTGGTCCTCCAGAGGTCCTGAGTTCAATTCCCAGTAACCACATGGTGGCTCACAACCATCTGTAATGAGATCTGGTGCCCTCTTCTGGCCTGTAGAGATACAGGCAGACAGCACACTGTATACATAATAAATAAATAAATCTTAGAAAGAAAGAAGGAAGGAAGGAAGGAAGAAGGAAAGAAAAGAGCAGGCCAGAGTGACTGATGTATCCATTCCGTACCCCAGCAGCCTCCTCAACACTGTCTGTGTAGACATACAGCAGAAACGACATAGGCTGTATTATAGATGGGAGACGGTGGCCACCAGAAAAAGAAAAGTGTGATGAAACTGCCACCTATTTCCACTCAGAACCACTTTCAAAAGCAAGACCCGAGGGGAGGGATGGCCCTGGCCCTGTGGAGGGGCGAGGGCAAACAAGATGGTTCACAGGATAGCTACAGGGAGATACACACATAAAGTAACGCAGGCAAGCAGCGGTGGAGCTGAGCCTTGTAAACGGTCCCGTCGAGCCCTTGAGACACTCAGCCTGTCTCTAGACTTGGTCCCTGTGACGCCAACCTGCTCACCTGGCCTTGGCTCATGTGTAGCCCATTCTCTGCAGTCTCTCTGTGTCCTTACCATTGTACTGCTTTTGTGTGACCATGGGCCTTTGTGCCTTTAATGTCACTGTCACTGTGTCCCCTGCAGAGTGACCGTGAGAAATCAGAAGGCCTCCCTGTGGCCCCATTCATGGACAGAGACAAAGTGACCAAAGCAACGGCCCAAATTGGGTTCATCAAGTTTGTCCTGATCCCAATGTTTGAGACAGTGACTAAGGTGAGTGATCATGCTGGTGGTACAGAGGCAATAAGCACACGTGTGCACACATGTATGCGTGCACATTTCAGGGAGATGGATTGTGTATGCATGTGCACACACATGAACCCTCTACAGCTTCAGCATCTGCTGTCATGGTGATGGTTACCTGGCAGCCATTCCTTCTGCTGTGTCCAGTGCCACCCCCACTGATGCTCATCATAGAGCTCCATGTGTGACTGTCAGGCCCTCGGTGTCCGCTCTACCCCTGCCTATCTGCTAGCTTTAAGACACAGCCAGCTGTGCCAGCTGTTGGCTCTCCTGTCCTTCCAGGCCTCACCTTAAAGGACCTCCTGGAATTGGTGCCCTGGAGCTGGGGAACTGGCATAATCAAGTCTTCTCCCGCCTCTGTACCTCCACCTCCCAAGCCCCAGAGCTGCCTGCGCCACCACTTCCAGCCCCTGGATCCCAAACACACACTTGTCTCTTGCCAACCCACCTCCTGCCCATCATTCTCTGGGTGTCTCAGAGCCACCCCAATCCTTTTCAGTCCTATGACCACCAGCAGGAATTTTGTCAGACCTGTCCCCTTGCATATGACCTTCTGAGGCCATACCTACCCTTGTCTCACTGGAAGGAGTGGGGACAGGAGAAGCTAGTAGGCTGTCTGGAGTCCTCTGAGAAATGACAGGAGTGGGAATCTGTGCCAGAGACAGAGATGGGGGATGGGTGGGGCTGGGCCAGAGTCTTCAGGAACTGTCCAGGAGTTTCATACTCCATCACCTTAGGTTTCTCTAAAGGCCTTGATTTGAGGCCACTGGGGAATGAATCTCCTGAGGCTCACAGGGTAGCCCAACAGCCTGACAGCTCTCCTCCAGTATTGTCAAGCTCTCCCCCAGCTTGACAATGGTGGGCTGACGTTGGACCCTCTGCTCCCCAGCTCTTTCCCATTGTCGAGGAGACCATGCTACGGCCACTCTGGGAGTCTCGAGAACACTATGAGGAGCTGAAGCAGCTGGATGATGCCATGAAGGAGGTAAAGACAGTGCAGGGACACAGGCGGGTGAGTCAGCGGCTTGTGGCCCGGTGGCAAAAAGGACTGGCACAAGAGCCAAGCTCAATGAGACAAGGAGTCTAGGTGCTATGCTCTTGAACAGCAGAGTCTCTTCCCAGGGTCTGTGGTCGGCTATGCTTTCCTCGGAGTCTGCTGACCGATGAGAGCCAGCACACAGCTGTGTGAGCCTGAGAACCACCGTGCATCACGGCCTTTGCAGTGTGTCCTAGCACCTCCCTGTCCTCCAGACTAGGGTGCCTGTTCAGTGAGGGACATGAGAACAAAGCAAGCACCTAAGTCCCTGCTTTCAGACACAGACTGCACAGGGCAACTTGGCTACTCTCCTGGTCAAGATGGAGAGGTTTTAGGGCGCTGGGGATGCAGGATCCCAGGAGAGGCTAAGAGCCTCTACAACCTTGTTGTATATTCCCATGAGCCAGTTCAACTTTGTTGGCGGCCCTCTTCTTCCAGAAGCACTGGTACTAGGGACTCAATCCATGTCTCCTGCCTGTTGCAGCTGCCTTATGTAGTCTTCCTCTACCCGCAATACCCCCTGCTCCTACCAGGACACCCATGGGCCCAGAAGTTTCCCCCACTGCTCGTATACTCCAGACCTCTCGTTGGCCATTGTGATCTCACCACCCAACCTGAGATGCCCCTCATGCCCTCATTTCCTACTCAGTAGCCATGCGCCCAAGCTCCCCAGTAACAGAGGGCTCTGCATTCATCTCTTCTGCCTTCTTTCCCAGGTGTGGCCTGTATTGGTCACATCTCATCAGCCATATTGCCAAGCACACCTCCAGTATGTGATGCCAGGCACGTCACAGACCCATGGGGAAAGCATGTACGTTGACAGAAAGCACAGACTAGCAAATCCTGGTCCCCTGCTGGGAAGTCACAAAAGGACATCTCTGAAAATCTGAAAGGCAAAACCGTACATACCAAAGGGCATTCCCAGCCCAGACTCTGATGAGGAGGCTGTGGGGACCTCAGTCACCATGGCTATCCCATTAGCCATTGCTCTGGGGTGCCTGAGTCTGCAAACCTACATCCCACTGCCCAGTGGGAATGCCAGGCTCTCTAGGATGCCACCCTGGCCCTAGAGAAGGAGGCATGAAAAAATAAGTGATAGCTCTGGGCCTGAAACAGGAGCTCAGCCCCCAGGCCTGGGGCTGTGGGCTGTGGCCAGCTTGATCCAGACATTGATGACCAGGGTGATGTCGTGGGTCATGAGCAGGTCACAAGCACCCAGGCAATATCTGGCAAATGTGGAAACAGTGGGCAGCCATGTTTCACACCTGAGTGTCTTCAGGCAGTGGACACCTCCTGAGACAAGAGGCTGCTTGCGCTGGCCCATTGCCTCTAGGACTGACTTTGGTCTTTGCTCTCTTAGTTACAGAAGAAGACGGACAGCTTGACATCTGGGGGCACTGAAACTGCCACAGAGAAGAACAGAGATGTGAAAAACAGTGAAGGCCATTCTCCTCCAAACTGATGTCTCAATGTGTACCGTGAGTGGGAGAGCCCTGGAGTACCATATTCAGGGAGGGCATAGTGCATGCACATGCGTGTGTGTGTGTGTGTGTGTGTGTGTGTGTGTGTGTGTTGTTCAATCCCCCACCCTCTTCCTATAAAGCACCAGAAACTCAGGCATGGGATGTCCACCCTGATGCCTTTGTCTCTATCCGGATTGCCTCCCACAGCCTCCCCTACAAACACCACAGCTAGGTGTTTTCACCTTTAACCTTACAATGGGGACTGAACATCAGCAAGCACCTGAACACTTAACATTAACAAACTATCCTTTGCCTGCTACACTGACAAGATGAGGGCAAACCACAGCATGCAGCCTGCTTTAATCCTGTGTATCCCAATTAGAATCTGGGCTCTGATTCGGAAAGGTTCACTCTTGGGTCACAGAAAGGATTAATTACTAGAATGTGCACACCCATGAGATGAAAAATTCTGTGAAGTGCATCTGAAGTACAGAAGCTCTTAAGAAGCACTTGCTCCCCGTCACCACAAGCATGTCCCCTGACTCCTGCTGGCACAGCCTCTCAGTCAGCACAGCCACTCAGCCAACGCATGCTACCATGCACGCTTCGGTGCATGCTAACCTCTCATGTGAGCCCGGGGTTTATGCGTGGAATGGGAGAAGCTGAGTTTAAAGGGGAAACAGAAAAGACATCAGCCCAACACATGCCTTTAGTAAAACCTTTGCCAGTGGCAGCCATGTGTCCCCCACATCTGTGAACCCCCAGCCCTCTGGTCTGTAAGCCCAAGGTCACAGGGTCATCACTGGGACTTGAACAGTTGTGCGAACTGCTGTTGCAACCTGAGGCGTCCCGTGAACCTTGAAGCCAGGCTCTGTTCTTGGGAAGGAGGTGGCATTGGCATCGTCTAGGTTGGGCTACATGTGCTTGTGTGGCAGGCGACCTCATTCTTTTTGTTGTTTTGTTTTTGAGATTTATTTTATTTGTGTGTTTGCCTGCATGAGTATGTGCACCACATGTGTGCTGGAGTCCACAGAGGCCAGAAGAGGGCGTCAGATCCCCTGAAACTGGAGTTACAGATGGTTGTGAGCCTCCCTGTAGGTCCTGGAAACTGAACTTACGTCCTCTGCAAGAGCAGCCAGTGTTCTTAACTACTGAGCCATCTCTACAGCCCCAACTCATTCTTTTATATTTTATCAAATTTTAAAATTAGTATACAGAGTAATGGTTTTCACCCTGGTGTCTTCATCATATGTGTCATTGTCCCTTCTCATCCATTCCTGCCCTTCCCCACATCCACACTTTCCTATCAGGTTTGGTCTCCTTGTTCCTCCTTTGGCTCTCTCTCTCTCTCTCTCTCTCTCTCTCTCTCTCTGTGTGTGTGTGTGTGTGTGTGTGTGTGTGTGTGTGTGTGTGTGTGTGCGCGCACACACATGACTGCAGGTGCCATAGAGAATAGAACAGGGCACCAGACACACCAGAGCTGGAGTTGCAGGCAGTTGTGGATCCTGGGATTCAAGCTCGGGTCCTCTGCAAGAACATTGCTGGCTCCACCACTCCCCACCCAGGTCTTTCCGATTTTTTTGTACATGCATTCTGTCACCACCTCAACTTCCCACTTGGTCATGTGGCTGTGCCACCTCCAGTCCCCACAGAGACATCATGCCTTCTTTCTCTTTTTCCAGCAGACTGCACTAGTCAAATCAGCTAAGCTGTGGCCTCCGAGCAGACAGGGCTGGGGAACCCCACAAGATTCTCCACACAAGGATGGTCACGCCCAGACAACCCCGGATGACCTGCCACAGACCATGTTTTCTAAGAACCGTTTTGTTCATGGATACAAAAACAGGAACTCATGATGCTGTACAGAATTTTTATTTTTAAACTGTCTTTTAAATAATATATTCTTATACCGAAATGGGTCTGTACTTTTTCTTTGGGTTTTGTACTAGGGCTTCCAAGGACTCTGGCTTTCCCTGGGATGTATCTTCAAATGGTTGAACAGTAATGTGACCTGAGGGTCCATGTACATTCCACATTAAACATCAGAATGGTGCCCAAGTGCAGGGGCATACATGTGTCCTGTGTTTATGAACAAAGGGAGGGGGACACTTGGGGACATGCGCGTTACTATGTACATGAACAGAAGGAAGGCATCAGTGATGTCTACAGGGGCTGGGGAATGAGGCAGGCTGGGGGACCATGCATGAGAGGCGATGTGGGAGGGAGATGCCTCCTGACCACAGGGACCCTGAACACTTCCGGGCTGATGGTGATGGGTAAGTCTCCCCAGGCACTGAATAATCATCCACTGAAGAGATGAATGAATGAATGAGTGAATGAATGAATACATCTGAGATTCCTCACCCACACAATCACATAAGAGTCAAAAATAACAGAGCAAATCTTGCTGGGTAGAAGAGACTATCCCCACGGGTATGTACCAAACATGGGAAAAGCCATACATGGGTGCACATGTATGGTCAGTCATGTGCCTCTGGCCTTGCTCCCAGCTGACAACAAGGAAGCTAAGAAAGGAAAGATGCCCAGCATTCAGCCATTTTATAGACCTTGCAGCTTCCTTCAGGTACAGGGGGATGAGTGGGATGAGTTCTGAGGGGTGCAGCAGAGGCAAACAGCAAGGCTGAGCACAAAGCCTCATGCAATAGCTGATGAGGAGTCGTAGTAATGAGAACTCAAGGCTTCCTGTTTGGGTTTTTTTGTTTCTTGTTTTTTTTTTTTTTCTTAAACTGATTTAACAACAACAACAACAAAATCCATGCCAATGAGCATGCCGAAGGGGGATGGATGTATTGAGCAGCAGCTGATAGCTGACTTTGCCTTTGGAACTGGCTGCTGCCAACTCCCACCCACGTTATTGGAGGTGTGGCCTTGCCGGAGTGAGATGGCCTTGTTGGAGGGGTATAGCCTTGTTGGGGTGGGTGTGGCCTTGTTGAAGGGGTGTGGCCTTGTTGGAGGAAGTGTGTCACCGCAGGGTGGGCTTTAAAGTTTCAGAAGCTCAAGCCAGACCTGAGGACTCACTCTGTTTTCCTGCTACCTTTGAATCCAGATTTCCTCTGCAAAAAGCCTGGTCAATGGGGATTCACAGAAGGCTGAGATGGTCTCCTTGCTCCCATGGTAATGCTCCAAGGCCAATGGACACTAACATTTTAGGGAGTGGGGGTATCTCTGAACATATACATATGGGGGAAAAGTCAGGACTTCCAGACTAGTGCAACTTTACACGCCTCCACATTGTCTCTTGAGAATCCTTGGGGTGGGCCAGGCTACTAGGGTTACTAATGAGTTACTAGTAAAAGAGCACCTGGGCTGGTCCTTGGTTTGGGCAATAGTGAGTAATCAAGCATCAGGTGTTTGTATGGCTGTGCGTTGACTTCTCTGGGAAGAAAGCTCGGGAAAGTGTAGGCTTTCTGTTAGGTTGATGTTGTTATTCTTCGGGGTGGTGACAGACAGGTATGCCCATGTCTGTGTCCACTTGGGGGCTTTGAATGAGGATGTGTCCCCCACCACCACTCACCCTTTTGAATTCTTAGTGATTAGTCTGTGAATCATTATGATGAGTGGATATTGTTGGAGATGGTGTGTCACTGGGGTGGGCTTTGAGGTTTCAAAAAAAAAAATCCTACACCATTCCCAGTTCGCTCTCTGCCTGGTGGATGGAGATATACTCAGCTACTGCCCAGTCCCATGCCTGCCTGCATGTTGCCATGTTCCCTCCCTGCCATTGTAGCCATGAACTCTGACCCTTCAAAACTATGACCACAAGTAAATGCTTTCTTTTATAAGCCGTCTTGTTCATGATGTTTTATCACAGCAATAGAATAATGTGTAAGACATACACCAATCTTGGGAGTTGTTTCTCAAGAGTCTGTCCACCTTGTTTTTTGACACAGTGTCTTTCATCACCCTAGAATTTTCTAGCAACTCGGAAACAGCCTGTCTCTGCCTCCCTTGGTGCTGGGGTTGTAAGTTCAAGCCTCCACACCCAGCTTTCCTGTGTGTTCTGGGGATCGAACTCAGGACTTTGTGCTTATAAGGCAAGCACTTTACCACTGAGCCAGTTCCTCTGCCTTTTTAGCACCAGTTCTCTGCTGGGTGGCGCTGCCTTTCAACCTCAAAATAAAGTGAGCGTGTGATCATGTGTGGCCCTGGGCATTGCACTGGCTAGTTTTTGGTCAGTTTGACACAAACTAGGATCATTTGAGAAGAACCCTCAACTGACTTAAAACAAAAAATCAAAAAAAAAAAAAAAAAAAAAACCTCCATTGGATTGGTCATAGGCAAGTCTGTGGGGCATTTTCTTGATGAGTGATTGATGTGGGAGGACCCAGCTCACTACAGCCTGTGCTACACCTGGGCACTTGGCAAGCCACGGGGAACAAGCCGGTAAGCAGCAGTCCTCCATGGCTTCTCCTTCAGCTCCTGCCTCCAGATTTTTGCCTTGAGTTCCTGTCCTGTCCTCCCCCAGTGATGGAGTGCCACCTGGATATGTAAGCCTACTAATCCCTTTCGTCCCCAAGTTGCCTTTGGTTGGGATTTATCACAGCAGTAGGACGCTGACTAGACAGGGATCGAGCCCAGAGCATCATGTGTGCTCCTGAGCGAGACCCAGTCTCGCTGTGTAGTGGCACTAGCCTCCTTTTGATCTTTTTTAGTTTTTCGAGATAGGGTTTCTCTGTGGATTTGGACCCTATCCTGGAACTAGCTCTGTAGGCCAGGCTGGACTCAAACTCAGAGATCCACCTGCCTCTGCCTCCCGAGTGCTGGGATTAAAGGTCTGCACCACCACTGCCCAGCCCCTTCCCCTTTGAATATTTTTATTTTTGAGACAGGGTTTCTCTGTGGCTTTGGAAGCTGTGCTGGAACTAGCTCTTGTAGACCAGGCTGACCTCCTTAAACTCACAGAGATCTGCCCGTCTGAGCCTCCCTCCTGCTGGGATTAAAGGTACGCGCCACCACCACCCAGCGTTCTTTTGATCTTCTAAGCAACATTTTTCAAATAGCATGATTTTGTCAGGTTTTCTTTTCCCAAAATTAACTTCATTGTCAAGCCTACACACTCTCTGCCTATCCCTCAATGCTGAGGATTTCTTCTGTCTTTTTTCTAAGAGTTTCGTGGGTTAGAATCTATGATTCTTTAGAGTCAGCTTGTGCATAGACATCAAGGTCCAGCTTGTGTCTGATGACAGTCACTCCAGCATCTTTCTTTGAAAGGCTATCTTTCAGTCCGAATGGTGGTGCATGCCTTTAATCCCAGCAGAGTCGGGCAGAACTCGGAATTTGAGGCCAGCTTGGTCTACAGAGGGAGTTCTAGGACAGCCACGGGCACACAGAGAAGCCCTGTTTCCAGGTGAGGAGGAGGGAAGAAAAGACAAGCTCTTCCTCCAGGAATTGCCTTTATGACATTCTCAGAAGGTAGTGGAACATAACTGTGCTGTCTGTTTCTGGGTTGTTTTGGCTGTATTCAGTTGATTGTCTACCCTTCTACCAGTATCACACAGCTTTAATTATAGCAATACAATAGCTCTTTAAATTAGGTAGCCTAGTCGGGCGGTGATGGCACATACCTTTAATCCCAGCACTTGGGAAGCAGAGGCAGAGGCAGGCAGATCTCTGTGATTTTGAGGGTAGCCTGGTCTACAGAGTGAGTTCCAGGATAGCCAGGGCTATCTCGAAAAACAAAAAGAGGTAACCTATTTCCTCCTGTGTTACTTACTTTTTTTTTTAATCTTTTAACTATTTTACCCTCTTTTTACGATGTTTTTATTTTATGTGTATGGGTATGTCCTTGCTAGTTTTATATCAACTTGAGATGAGCTAGAGTCATCAGAGGGGAGGGAACCTCAATTAAGGTGCCTTCATAACATCAGGCTGTAGGCTAGCCTGTAAAGCATTTTTTTAAATTAGTGGTTGATGGGGGAGGGGGACTCAGCTCACTGTGAGTGGTGCCGTCCCTGGACAGGTGATTCTGGCTTCTATAAAAAAGCAGGTTGAACCATGGCATGTAGAACAATCTCGTGATCAGTCCCTCCGTGGCCCCTACATCAGCTCCTGCCTCCAGTTCCTGCCCAGTGTGAGTTCCTGTCCTGACTTCCTTTAGATGAACAGTGACGAGGAAATATAAGCCAAATAAACAGTACCAAGTTACTTTTGGTCATGGTATTTCATCACAGTAATAGTAACCCTAACTAGAACAGGGTGTTTTGCCTTCATGTATTATCTGTGCTCTGCATGAGTGCAGTGACCAAGAAAGTCAGAAGAGGGTGCTAGATCTTGTAGAATTGGAGTTACATACAGCAGGTTGTGAGCTATCAAGTGAATGTTGGAAATCAAACTCAGATCTTATGGAACTGTATATTTCAATTTAGAGTGATTTGACAACTTTGCAATACTGGATCTCCCAAGCCAGGAACAAGTTACAAGCATTTGTTTAGATGTTTCTTTCTTTTGTTGATATCTCTAGTCTTCAGTATTTGAGCTCTGTTAATATACACTTAAATACTTACGTTTCCTGAGTGATTAGATCTGACTGCATGCTCATTGCTAGGGATATAACTGATGTGTGTGCATTTACCTGGTGTCCCATGACTTCCCCGAGCTGACTTGTTTGGGGGAGGAGGGTTGCCTTTGTCATGTTGTCTTGTTTCATAGAGTTTGTAGATTCTTTGGGATCTCCAGTGGAGGTGATCATATCGTTGTATTGGTTACTCGTTTCACTGCTGTGCTGAAATAACCCAGCAAAGCAATTCAAAGAAGCATTAATTTGGGCTTGCAGTCTGAGGGCACAGTGTCTTGTCAGGGAAGGCATGACAGCAGGACCTGAGGCGGCTCCCCACAGTACAGCCACAGTCAGGAAGCAGAGAGATGGATGCGCTGCTCAGCTCTCTCCCCCCCCCCCCCCCGCCTCTCCCCTCTCTCTCCCTCTCCCACCCTCTTCCCTCTCTCTCCCTCTCTTTTTTGTCCAGTCCAGGACCCCAAATGGTGCTATCCACATTCAAGGTGGATCTTCCCAGCTCAGTCCAACCTCCCTGGAAAGGCCCTCAAAGAC